ATTGAAGCTTGTAATTATAGTGCAACTAACAGGATCATGTGCTAACTTGGGCTGTTTTAATCACCTCTTTTACTGTGAAATGTAATGGTAAAATTCCACAGTTGTTCCCAGGCTACCCATTCTTTCAACATCTCTTATTTTGTAACTCAAACAGTTCAATACTAAGGAGGGCAGGCAGAGAGATGCTGTGGGCATTTTATTACAGCAGACTGGAGGGAAAGCCGACTTCAGGCTTGATGAAAAAGCATAAACAGTAAGAGAGTTTTCAATTTTCTACTAGAATAAAATTTTCTCTTTGAAAGCAAATTGTCTATTTTATGTTTCAAAGACAGCAGATGTTTTGTGGGATCTGGCACCAACTGCAACCCATATTTTATACATGTCGAAGGAAACCTACAACCATAAAAATCAGTCTCAGGCTGATTAGGAAAACCCCTCCAACTCAGTCCAAAGAGCCTGGATACTAAGCCATGTGTCAGTGTGTCACCTTTCATGGGAGGACTCGTTAAGGCAGTCATTACCTTTATTTATCATTTCAGATCACATTGGGATAAACTTCAGATACTTTTGTTACGTAGGTTATACAGGACCTTGGACACTATGTGAAATGAGGGGGCTGATTAAGGAGGGAAATTCCCTTGATTGTTTTGCTGCGAAATGATTTACACTCTGTTAGACACAGCTGCACAAATAAACCATCCTTTACAGTGCCACATTTCTGTAATCCTGCGTGAGCCAGGACATTAATATTGCATGGAACCAGCCCAGATCCACACATTTGGTCTTAAACTGGACAGTGATTGCTCAGCACGAATCCTGTCTTCCTCACATATGCATTGCCACGGTGCAGGTGCACAGGCAGACTCAGCAAGCCAGAGGAGTACAGTTACAACTGAGCAAACGCGACTGTGGCCTTAAAACAACAAAAGGAGGCAATCTAAGAACAAAATTTCAGGAAATTTTCTTGAAAGAAAAATTGTGGCATCAAGTACAGTGTCCTGGATTAGACCTGCTTAGGGCTGGCACAGCCGGACTTGAAAAGCATAATTGCTGGGCCGCTGTGGCACTAGACTGTACGGGAAGAAGATACCCTGCAGTAGAGGGGACGTGGGCCCAGCCCGATCTCTCCTCCACCGGACCGTCCCTCAAAGCCCCAACCTTTTTCCAGACCCTTCTTCTGATGTCATGGTCCTAATGTACCGGTTGACAAAGCAGCTGCCCCAGGAGGCGCCCCCTTGAGGGTGCTTTCAGAGAATTAAACGAGTCCAATCCACCCACGAGGGATGTTGACAACCACCTGCACAAGTCAACTGATCAAGGGGAGGCAGCTGTCGCGATAATTCAGCACGCCAGCTGCTGACTGGTTGGAGTGTATGCGTGGGTAGAAGCGGATTAATGGGCCACAGCTGAGAGGCAGGAGAGTCTTGACAGCCACAGGGGCAGTGCCCATCCCAGCGCTTCTCAGGTCTGGCGAAGAGGCAGTGAGTACACCCTGAGGACACTTACTGTCCCTAGATTAAATGAAATGACCTAAGAAACTTCAGGTGCAAGATGCTTCTTCTGGTCATGTGAGTTCCTAGGTAGTTGGTCTACAAGGGTCTACAAGTTGGTCTACAAGTCCTCTTGTGTGCTGAACAGGCAGATGAGAACATTCCAGTCCATTTGAGAATCACAGTGCTCATACCAGTTAATAAGACAGCTGCTGTAGCATAGTGGCTGGGTGTAGATTCTGTATGGGGTATGGATTCTGTATAGAGTGTAGATTCTGTATAGATTCTATATAAAGATAGATTCTGTGTAGATTCTATATGGGGTACAGATTCTGTATAGATTCTATATAGAATATAGAGTCTGTATAGATTCTCTATAGAGCGAAGATTCTATATAGATTCTCTATGGAGTGTAGATTCTACACAGAGTCTATATATAAAATATAGATTGTGTATAGAGTGAAGAGTCTATATGGATTTTGTATAGAATATAGAGTCTGTATAGATTCTCTATAAAGTGTAGATTCTATGTGGAGTATAGATTCTACACAGAGTCTATATAGAATATAGATTCTGTATAGAGTATAGATTTTGTATAGTATGGACTACTTAGATTCAAATTCTGGCTTCCTGTCTTAGTGGATGTGTGACCTTCTTACTTTTGTGCCTCAGTTTCCTCATCTGTAAAGTGGCCTTAAGAATATTACTTATCATGAATACTTGAAAATTGCTAAGAGAGCAGATTTTACATGTTTTCACCACAAAAAAATAAGTATGTGAGGTAATGGATGTGTTAATTAGCTCAATTTCGCCATTCCACAATGTAGACATTTATGAAAACAGCACATTGTACACCATAACTATATTCAATTTTTATTTTATTCAATTATAAATAAACAAATAAGAATAGTACTTACCAGAAGAATTGAATGAAGTCATACATCTGATGTATTTAGTACAGTGCCTGGCACATGATAAGCCCTCAATAAATGTTAGCTACTGTTTTTGTTATGGTTTTGTACAGCCATCTCCTGAACTTACTTAATCTCTCTGCCACAAAAGATGCCAGAAAGTTGTGTTTCTGGGCCCAGAAGGCCAAGGTCTGCCCTCTGGAGAAAGGGGCAGGTGTACCAAGGTGAGTGCCACCAGGAGGGAGTGGACATATCGTCAGTCTCCGTGCCTCTTGTCATAGATGCGCAGTAGTGCACAACTGTTCTTTTGTGACATTTCTTTTGTGACATTTCTTTTGTGACATTTCTTTTGTGCCGATTATTATGGTAACTTCATCCTTGTCGAGTCTTCTCGATTAGATCTTCTAGAGGGCAGAAGTCTTGTCTTGTTCTTTCCCCTGCATCCTCTCAATTAGCTAACAAGGAGATACTCAGTAAATATTTCCTGAATGAGGTAATAAGGTTTATAGAGAATTCAGAATAAACTGGAGCATGTCCAAAGGAAAAAAAAAAAAAGAAGTAACTGAGAAAGTAAAAACTAGAAAGCTGATAGTCAGGCAAAGACATCCTGAGATGAAGCTCCTGGAAGAGCTCACTGAAGTCAGGGCCCGGGACCCGGCAGATCCAGGAGGACGGTGGCGCTTAGAGGAGGAAGGCGGTGGTTCCAACACTTCAGCCCTTTGTGTGCGCTGGCCTGAGCAGCAGCGAAGGCCACTTCACTTCCCAGGTGCTGTCAGAGGCTGTCCTAACACGGTGGCCACAGGGACACCCAGCAGCCTCTGCACCACTGGACGTGGTGAGAAGCCAGGAGAGGAGACAAAGAAGGTCATAACTAAGGCAGTTCAGAAGGTGGCAGTGAGCACGCCGTATGCAGGGCTCAGTCCTCCAACCCAGCACCCACGCGCTACAGCGCTCACTGTGTGATTCCAGTTCTCCGTGTGTCCTCACAGCTCTGTGGGCCTAGGAGTCCGCTTCCTGCTCCTGTGCTCTGGCCCCTTGTGGTGGCTTCACAGGTCCCTTGCAGGCTTGGTTTTCCCCTGGGCCTCCACCAACCTGGGAACTAACTACATGGCTGTCCTGTAGACCACCGCACACTTCAAACACTCCCAGTCAACTCAACGTACGTTTAGTTAGAATCTAAAATACTGAACGTGGTGCTATAGATGTAGACTCATAGACCATGTAAAGTAAAATGAATCTTGGAAAAATCTAACTGTCCTGAATTTTACAGATGAGGAAAGGGAACCTCAAGCTTAGGGATGGAGGCTAAACTAGAAGCCCGATGTCCACTGATTATCTCTTTCTGCATTCCACACTTCCAACAAGTGTAGGCTTTGTCAGGATCTAGATGGACTCATCACTCAACTTCAAGTTGACTTTATTTGAGGGGGAAAAAAAAACGCATTCTATATCTCTGCTGGAATTATTTCTAGCCATCGCTAAAGCACTTGGGTCGGGGCTGGAAATCAGAAGAACCACCTCTGTCAAATGTTGAAAGACAAGCCCATTTTTAAAACCCAAAAGGGAACGTGGGTGGCTTGTATGGTTGGAGGGTTTGAAACTTTTTTTTAATGCAGAAATATTTATTATTATTTTTTTTAATCATTTTAGCGTATTATGGGGGTACAAGTGTAAAAGTTACGTATACTGCCCATTCATTTGTGGAGTGTTTTTATCATTCTGGAGAAGATTTAGACATTGAATGTACTAAAAGGATTTCGTTTGACTGCTATGTACTTACTCCTGCCTGTAAGCCGCTAATAAGCACTTGCAGGCGGAACAGCCTAATTGGCAGGATGAGTTAATGCACAGGCCACTCATTTGCCAAGCGCATGACACAGACCACGAGTGAAATGAGCTGGTAACTTCATCTCCTTCTCAGCGAATGCTTCTCGGCACCCCGCCCTCTCCCACCCAGCTCTTCCTCTGGACTTGAGCTTGCAGACCGCTCCACGCACGACTGCCATGCACCAGCAGGCTTAAGATAAGCCTGGAAGGAAGTGGAGGGGGGAAGAACTTTCTGGTCTGCAGGACAGTGGCCACCCCAAGTGAAAACATGTGTGCATATAAAACATGGCTAAATATATGTTCTGCCAAGAAGGATGAAGCATCTCTCTCTCTCTCGACTGTGAGAGTAGATTGCAGGAAAACAACTGATATTACTAATAAATATGATCACATTGGCTTGGCCAGGGGCTGCATTCTGCTTTATTCTTCCAGAAATGATTTAGAAGAGTCACTGTGAGGCCACTGGCCTGGAGCCTCTTCTCACCCAGTGGAGAGTCCCACGAGGTCATCTGGTCCTTCCTGCTGGACCTGAGTCCTCTCCAGATGCTGCCCTGCCAGCCTAGGGCGGCCACGCTGCCTTGGAGGCATGCTTCAAACCTGTCTCTTGGGTTTGCCCAAACTCCATCTCTCCGGCCTACACGTGGCCTTGTCATTGGCCGTGCACACAATATAGCCTGTCCTTGGGGTTGTCCCCTCTTTTCATGGGCATCTCTCCGCTGACCACACTGTGATGTGGCCTTTAACCAGGTGCCTGTGCTCTGTGTCCCCGCAGGTCTCCCAGGCAGCCGCGGACCTCCTGGCGTACTGTGAAGCCCACGTGCGGGAAGACCCTCTCATCATTCCAGTGCCTGCGTCAGAAAACCCCTTTCGAGAGAAGAAGTTCTTTTGTACCATTCTCTAACTCTGTTTGTGGTGAAAATGTCTCCTTTTCCATCCGTAAGAGTCCCCCGTAGAGACCATGCATGCTCTAAGCCCCAGGGAGCGCTACCCACACCCATCCCTGCACAACCCGTGGTGGCCGGGGCTTGTCCTGTTTCCTCATTTGTTTTCTTCGTGGCATTCGATTTCATTTTTTCCCTTTTCCTTTTCATGTCATTTTCATTATTGGCAAAGAAAATAGACATTTTTATAGCCAAATAACAAATATGCCATGTAAAAATAAGTATGGATGTAAGGGTTTAAAATTTTTAAGCATCAGTTCCCAAGCTTAAATGTATCACGTTAATACATTTCAGGGGATAACGTAGTGCAAAGAAAAACTGTACCCAAATATCCCCCATGTAATTCAGTATCAAACTAGAGCATGTTGACGAACTGAAATTTGCAGGTAAAGTTTCCATCGCCCTTCCTGGAGGAAACAGCTGTGGAAGTTTTCTCTTTCCTGCATTTCCCTCATCCTATTAAAAAGAGAACAACCCACAGGATTGGAATGGTTTTCAGAACACGTGTCTTCCCGGGGCCGTGTGACCCAGGTCCCTGTTGACCCCTTTGAAGTGGTCCTTCTAGAAACCCAGGTGTTGGGCAGACACTGTAGTAAACTTGGCCATGAACTTGGCCAAGAACTTGGCCATGAACTTGGCCATGAACGTGCACTGATGTGTATGTGTTACAGCCAGACCTGTGGGTGCCATCTCCCCTTTCCAAATGCCACTTCCTCCTGCTCCCTCCTCTTCTGGCTCTTGCTCAGTAGTCCTAACGTGGGCGGCATTCATAAGGGCCTGTTCTGGGCACAGCGCTGGTCCCTCCAGGGTTTTACCAGGGCAGCCCTTTCCCTGCAGGAGTGAGTTGTAGTGGCAGCAGCTCGCTGTGTGCCACCACCAATCTGAGCACCGATGTGTGTCGAGGTATTCAGTCCTCCAACGATAAATACCATTGGTGCATGTCTGTTTTTGAGCAAGGGGAGACTGAGGCGCAGAGAGATTATGTAGTTTGCCCAAGGTCACGGATAGTAAGCAGGGACACTGGGACTTGAGTGCAGGCAGTCTGACCCTCGAGTCTTCCCTGAACCCTTGAGCTATGCTACCTGTTTGCAGGTAGCGAGACCCACAAACAATCTTAACTGTACACTGTGATGCAAACATCTTTTTGTACTGACCCAAGGTCCACTCGTGGCACACTTCTCTTCCCACCTTCGCCAGGAGGAGGCCTATAGAGCCGGCTTCTGGCAGTTTCTGGAAGATGATATGTGAGGCCCCAGGGGGAGGCTAGACATCCATGAATTAGTTCTTGGATTGTCCGAGATCACCCTGCAGGCCATGCCTAAACCAAACTCATGCCACCCCCAGTGTAAGAAAAGGACAAACCATGGGAGCAGAGAGCTCTTTGTCTAAGTTTGTTCTATGCCATTTATCTGGAAATTGCCTCTCTCCCTGGTTCTGACAGCCTTGCTGTATGATATAGGGCAGGCCATTGTGTGCCTGAAATGTTCTAACCTACAAATTGCGGATAATGGCAATTACTCCTCCTGCCTCTCTGTCTGGGAGGAAAAAGCGAGATGCTACCTAGATGAAAGCTCTGATTATCATTTAAAACAAATAAATGTACTAACTGCCACCCTATAATATAGGGAAGAATGCGTGAGTTCAAAGATTCTACGGTTCAGTTGGACGAATAATATGAAATTGCCTGCAAAGAGGCGAATATAATTTCAGATCAATGAATGACTTGCCACCCTCATCAATGGCTTTAGCACATTTTCATTCCTTGCTTCTTTTGTTGAAACCCAGCCTTAGTTTCGTTAGAGCTCACCGATAAAGCCGGTGTTGTTAGGAAGCTGATGCTCAAACTATAGCAGAATTGTCTGCTGGATGTGATGCTAACACTTCAGATCCTTCTATCGTTTGGTTTATGGCCAGGATCTCTTTATTCCATGGTCCGCATCACCGTCATTAAGCGGATGAAACAAAGCACAATCCCTAAAAGCACATCAGAGAAGCCAAGGAGGTGGGGCAGCACACAGAGTGCCAAAATCAGGTCAAGAAAAAAAAAGGGCTTTGAGTCTCGCACCCAACTCTCTCTTTGTCTTTACTGTTCCTGTCCCTGCATGTTCAGCTTCCCCTTTGTTCTCTCTTTTCCCTTTTCTTCCTTACCCTCCCCTGTGAGGCACTTTCCTGTCCTTTTACTACACATGTCCCTTCCAAACCGGTGGCCTTTTTTGTGGGTCACCCTTCCTAAAAGGATTCCTGAGCACAGGTCATGCACACGGGCTTCAACACGGGATACACACACACGTGAATGAGCCCCCCTCCCCTTCTAACAACCAGTGGGAGGTGAGGGACATAAAGCCTGCTTGTGGGACAGAGTGTACCTGCAGTGGACAGTCCTCATGTTGTGTTTTCAGCTTGGCTGTCCAGCATCTGCCATCTCTTCCTCTAGTGGGGACACGTAGGGGTACAAACTCAGTGGGGTGCAGTACCTGCCTCCCCCTGTGGAAGCCGAGGTAGGGAGGTAGTCCCCATCTCTCAGGCACACCCCCTTCTGGCCCTATACCAGCCACGGAGTGGTAGTGACCTGGGCTGGACCGCTTGGACTCCCCTGCTTGGGGCTGTGAGCCCAGAGCAAGTGACATAGAAATGACAGATGCTGAGACTCGTTTCTTGGAAGCTGTGGTGGCCCGGGGGTGGCAGTTGCCTGGCAGGGGAGGTACCTAGGTAGGGCCAGCAGGCTGCAGGGATGGTGTGTCCACTGGTAACCACGTCCAGGGATGGCAGGGTCTGGGAAGACCATTCCTCCTCCGCTCCTTGGCCCCACAGAGCTATCTCTGCCTTCACCCATCTCCCTACATCTCCCTTCTAGTTTTCTGTCCATTCTTTGAGCCGCCAAGCTCCGTCCAGTAAATTCCTTGTTCTTCCATGAAATAGCCTGCGTGGGATGTAAATACCATGTGACCTAACAATTCCACTCCTAGGTGTATACCCAACAGAGATGTGTACATATATTCATCAAAAGAACTGCCCTAGAATGTTCCTAGAAGCGCTATTCGTAATAACCCGGAACTGGAACGTGCCCACGTGTCCACGTTGCATGGGTGAATACATTGTGGTATAGTCCCCGTGGTGGAATCTACATAGCACTGAGAATGGATGATCTGCAGCTACACCCCACGTCGTGGTGTGTGTCTCACAAACCCAGTGTCAAGTGAGACGCGGCAAGAGCACACCTTATGATTCCATTTATATGAAGTACAAAACCCAGCAAAACTAATCTGTGCCATTGCAGGTAGGAATAGTAGTTACTCTTAAGGGGCTAGTTACCAGAAGGGTACATAAGGGGAAGCTTCTAGAATGTTCTGTCTCTTGATGTGGCTGCCAGGTACCTGGGTGTGTTCATTTGGTGAAAATTCTTAGAGCTGTATACGCTTTTGATGTGGGCACTTTTCTGTGTGTATGTTATACTTCAATAAAATGCTGATTTTTGTGGCTAACAATCAGGAATCCTACTGTTACTTTTTGTTTCTTTTTTGACACTTTGCTCAACTTTTTATTCCTCTTTAGATATCATTATTAACATTATATTAATGAGAACGACCATTCTTAGCAGGGTGTTTGAAGAGCATGTCTGAGAATATTTTGCAATCGACAGCTCTCTGTATGGGGAATGGGCGTCGGCGCTGAGCTGGTGGCTCCCCGTGAACAGCAAATGCACACGCCACGCTGCGGAATTTCTGTCTCTTTTTTTTTGAGACAAAGTCTCACTCTGATGCCCGGGCTAGAGCGCCGTGGCGTCAGCCTAGCTCACAGCAACCTTAGACTCCTGGGCTCAAGCGATCCTCCTGCCTCAGCCTTCCGAGTAGCTGGGATGACAGGCATGCACCACCATGCCTGGCTAGTTTTTTCTATATATTTTTAGTTGGCCAATTAATTTCTTTCTATTTTTAGTAGAGACGGGGTCTCACTCTTGCTCAGGCTGGTTTCGAACTCCTGATCTTGAGCAATCCGCCCGCCTCGGCCTCCCAGAGTGCTAGGATTACAGGATTCGAGCCTTCGCGCCTGAATTTCCGTGTTTTGGAAAACCAGGGAGGAATACTACTGGGACTTCCTGCTTGATGACAGAGGTGACATGCTCTCCTGCCTTCTGACCGGCAGGACTGAGTGGAGGGGATGGCCGGCCACAAACCCCCATTATCAGACACCGCTCTGGGGGAAGGAGTGCAGCAGCTGCAGCACCCCAGGCCGCCCGGCCCTAGGAGCAGTGTCCTTCTGCTCTGCTCCCGCCCGCGGGAGCTCGGCCCTGCTTCCGAACCTCAGACTGTCCCTAAGGATGTCCCCGTGCTGCCTCCCTTGTTCTCAGCTACCACTTGGCCTCAGCCATTCTCCTGGCAGCTGTGACATGTTGAATTCCAGGGTGATCACAGAGTAGCTTCACGCTGGGGCCTATGACATGAGTCAGAAGGTCTTACCTTTGATCCTGAGCTCCAGCCCCCTGGGACTCGACAATGAGTCCAAGAATCGTCAGCAGCCCCCCTCTTGGGGAGCCATGGGGGGGGGGAGGGCAGCAAACCAAAGGTCAGAAGGAATTTTGTTCCAGTGACTGTTCAGATGTGAGACAAAAATAATACCAGCATCTTGATCTGGGAAGAATATGGGTTATGGCAGTAGATGAGACAGAATTTATTTACACTTCCGTTTCCTCAGCCCTTCGGGGTGGTGAGAAGACACCAGACCATGGGCCGTGTTTGTGGAGGGTCAGAAAGTTGCTCCCTACCTTGTCCCAACTGCCAGCCGCGTCTCCTGGGCCACACCCCGCTCTGCCGTCCCCAGGATGAGGGGCGCAGACCAGCAGCAGCCGAGGGTGAGCTGGGTGTCCGCGTGTGCATGGAGCAGTGACAACTCCCACTGGCCACAACCTGACATTCCATCCTGTTTGTTTCCAATAAAACCCACACTTGATTCTGTCTGAGCCATAAATAATGTAATAACTTGTAAAGTTTTCAAGCCTATGTGTGGTCATTAACCACATGCTAGTTAGTGGTGGTGTAACCACTTCCTTCAAAGATTCCCTAGTGACATAGGGTGGCCTCCAGGGCCCTGCCTGCCCCGGCCCCTTCTTACTCTCCAGCGTCACTTTCACACCTCACTCCCCATCAAAACCCTGTGCTCCATCCACGCCAGCCATCATGCAAGCCTTCCTTGCTAGCCATGTTCCCTGCTGCCACAGGGCCTTTGCACCAGCCACTTCCTCTGCCCAGCACACTCTCCACTCCTCTCTTGGCCAGGTCTGCTTATTTGGTAGATCTCGACTCAGGCATCACTGAAGGCTCAAGCCTTCTCTGACCTCTCTGACCGGGTCGAACCTCTTCTAGTTTCCTACCGCACCAGGAGTCTCTCCGTTACAGCCCTTGTCACTGTTGTCGTGTTACATTTGTATCAGCGATCATGGCTCAAGAAAGATCTGCGATCCTACTATCCACGAGGGCAGGGGTTCTGATGTTACTCACCACTGTATCCCAGCACCCAACGTCACACCTGGCATGTGATAGGCACTCAGTAAGTATCAGCAAGTGAATGCATGGAAGTTACTGCTAGTACTTTTTTGATTTTGGGTGCTTCTCTGTAGGGGTTGTCTATAAACTGCCAACTGATGTGAATGCACCCTCCGAAGACTGTAAAATAGAAACCATGGAAAGATGGGAGGGAAACCAATACCTTTGGAGTGAGCAAAGGAGTTAACTTTTTATCCCTTACAACGACCACGTTGTGAGATTTACTGTGCCCACTCTGTACATGTACATTCCTGATATGCAGACAAGCAACTAAGTTCAAATTAAGTCACTTGCCCAACATGAGACAGCTACCAAGTGACTGAATCTGAATTCGCATCAACTCACCTGACAGCTCTTGACAACCACCGCCCTGCTCGTTGTGAAACCAAAGGGTTTTTTTTTGACACTGTCAACAACAACAAAAAAGAAAATAAAAAAATAAAATAAAATAAAAGAGGAAAAAAGAAATTTAAAAAATTAAAAATTAAAAAAGAACAAAACAACAAAGGGTTTAAGAACCAAAAGACTGTCATCTCCTCCACATCCCAGTTAAAGAGAAAAAGGTACGAGGAAAGCACGAGAGCGCACTATAGACTGCAGGGCATTGTTCCGCTTCCTTGCCACTTAAAAACCCGCAAAGCACCTGTGCTCTATAAACTGCACCTTCACACCGTGCAGCCGAACGCCCGCTGGGTTTAATTGAGGTAATTAAGACCAGGGGATGGCCACTGCTGGGGAAGAAATGAAAGAACAGCTTGAAGAGGAAAGAAACATTGTCCCACAAAGCACAAAGGTAACATTAGTCCCTTTAGTTCACGCCTAAGGCCCGTTATTAGGAGTAGGAGGTTTTTGAAGTGTTTCTGTGAGCAAAGAGACCTATTATTACCGTGGCCAGGTGTGTGTACAAGTATTCATTCTCCAACTTTGCTTTCCAAATCATTTGGTAAAATTCTTATCCTTTACTTGGAGCTTTTACACTTTTTAGAATATTTTATTCCATCTTTTGTTTTTCGGTTAAATTACACTTCGTTCCACTTGATTTTACGTAAAATCCAGTCCCTGGGGCACAGTAAAAGAATCCGTTGTCCTGGGTAAATCCAGTGCTTTGCAGCTGATGCCAATCTCATAATACCTTTCCCTGATCAGATAATTAGTTGTTTCATCTGAATCCTGACTGGTCTGTCACGTTTGCAAGTGCAGCTTCACATCAGCACGTCTTCCTTTAGTTAAAAAATGGCGGAGTGACAAGACAATGCAAGAGGAAAGGAGAGGCCCTGCTTGGTGGTTAAATAATGATGGAGCCAGGAGCTATTTAGAAGACCAGACAACAAAGACCAGAGCGGTGAGTAGTAGCCTGGGCTTTGGAGGCAGACAGACTCGGTTGAAACCCTGGCTCTGCCACTTACTGGCATTGCCACCGCCCAGAGCTTTCATTTCCTCATCTAGTAAAAAGGACGACAATAACACCTGTTTCCTGGGTGGCTCTTGAGCAGGCGTCCTCAAACTACAGCCCAAGGGCCACATGCGGGCTGCCTAGCACATGTATCCAACCCTCCGGGTGTTTCTGCCGCCGCTGCCTGTCCTGCTTAGCAGCTAACTGGTCCCGGGCCCACAGTGCGCACTCTCCAATGGTCTGAGGGACAGTGAACTGGCCCCCTGTTTAAAAAGTTTGGGGACCCCTGCTCTTGAGGATTCATGAGTATTTAGCATTGCCTGGGATGTAACACATGCTCAATAGATAGACGTTAACTATACTTTAACCTGTTAATGGTCATGGAAACAAGGCCATACAGAGACTCTGGATTTGAAATGAGACTTTGGCATTTACTACAGATGCGTTAAAGAAAGGAGAGTAAGTGACACCAGCCAGCAGGTGGGCACCTGTCCCACTACAGGACATAACACATCAAAATGATAAGGTTTTTTACAGAGGAATGCGACCTAAGACCACCCCCTGCTCCAGGAGCAGCCTCATGAGGAAGGGACCACGCGATATTCAGGGAACACAAGACTCACCAGTCAGCAGCGGAGGGGGTGGTCAAGGCTGGAGGTGAAAGTTTACAAACCTCAAAATTGCTGTTTAAAGGGGTGATAATATTGGTCACTGCGGGAGGGCAAGTACCTGGTGAAACATTCAGGGTCTATGAAGGGACCACTCAAGGAGTAAACCATTGAGTGTCACTGTGGTGGCTATGACTTTACTTTCTAGCTACTCACGAGGAGTGCTTGCTGTCTTTTTTGTAGTAAAATGATTTCTCGGTTACCTTCTTCTGGTTTTTACCTCTGGTGATTTTGAATGAACACACACTGGACCAAGCTACGAAAGGCTGGGCCCCGACTCTGCGATGCCAGGCCATGCAGGGGGCTAGAGGGACAGACGGGGAGGGATGGCTGTTGCAGCCCAGGCTGGGTTGGGGAGGGACGCCCAGGTGCCACCCCGGCCTGCTGCATGGGGAGGGATGGCTCTAGGCAGCCATGAGGTGTCCAGCCAGGGACAGTAAAGGACACGACTATCTTGGCCAGTCTGTGCTGCTGTAACAAATTATTATACACCGAATGGCTTAGAAACAATAGAAAAAAAATTTTGTTTTTTTTTGAGACAGAGTCTCACTTTGTTGTTAGAGTGAGTGCCGTGGCATCAGCCTAGCTCACAGCAACCTCAAACTCCTGGGCTCAAGCAATCCTTCTGCCTCAGCCTCCCGAGTAGCTGGGACTACAGGCATGCGCCACCATGCCCGGCTAATTTTTTCTATATATATTAGTTGGCCAATTAATTTCTTTCTATTTATAGTAGAGACGGGGTCTTGCTCTTGCTCAGGGTGGTTTCGAACTCCTGACCTCTAGCAATCCGCCCACCTCAGCCTCCCAGAGTGCTAGGATTACAGGTATGAGCCACCGCACCTGGCCAACAATAGAAATTTATTTCCACAGTTCCGGAAGCTGGA